TATGTAAAGGTGCAAATTTCCAATGATGAATGTCATTATATTGGATACCTAAAATGTACCAATGATTAGAATGAATAATCGATAATGCAAAATAAGAAGAAAAGGTCGAAAGGGGTAGGGGTAGTGGGAGAGGAAAGAAGGGAAAAGAAAAATGATGAGAAATGGAAAAAATGGAAATAAAGTCTTTGTAAATAGGGAAGGGTGGCGGGCGTGAAGGGAGGGCTAGGAATGGGGAAAAAATAAGAACCAAGATGCATCATGTAAATGTACAAGTTCCCAATGAGAAATGTAAATGTGTTGTGTACCTACAATGTACCAATAAAAGAATTTAAGTAATTTTAAAAAAAACAAAGAATATTTTGAAAATAAATTTTAAAAAGAAATATGTCCATTGCTATAAAGAAAATAGTGATAACTTTCTCCCGTATTGGCATTCTTGAAATACTGATAAAGCATTTAAAGTTTTGTCTTGTCTAATATTTGAAGCAGTATTTCTTAGGAGCTCAACAGTGGAGCTGGAGAACTGAAGTCCTTGCACTGTGTATATGTTGTCCCAGCATATATGTTTTCCACAGTTTTCTTTCTTCTCTAACATGTTTTCAGCACTGTAAGGTAAAAAGTGGACTGATCTACAATTTTTTCTATGTATATGAATTGCCTCCCTTACCTTTTGGTCTATTTTAACTTTTAGATTTTTTTAAAAACTTTACCTGGGCTTCTCCCCCTCTCATCCTTCCCCTACAATACTGGAAATTGAACCCAGGGACCAGCATGTGAAGAAAGTGCCCTGCCACTGAGCTACCTCCCCAACTGATCTATGACTTTCGACATGAGAAAATAAAGGAATGGATCTAGACAACTATTCAGGCTACCTAGGCATAACGCTGTGAGATAGCTAATGTATAAGCCTTCAGTGTTGTTGGAATAGTAGTTAGCATGATAAATGACAAATGTAATATTGCTTGGAACAAAGCAAATGTTAAAAATCACAAGGACAAGGAGAATTGCCTTGATATACCTCAGCAGCTTAGGATCATGTGCATTAAGTTTGCAGGTGATGTTTGTGTAGCAGTAAATAACAGTCACAAATGGAATCAAGGATCTGAAGAAAGTCAAGGAGATTAAGTGGTAGAGTTGGAAGGGAGATGAAGACTCACATGTGTTGTGAATGTCACAGCAGGTGGTGATATTCAGCTGGACAAGATAATCCTTCTGCTTAAGGATGAAAAATGGCAGCATGTATAAGAAAACTGTTGCCCACACCAATCCACATGCTAGCAAAGCAAAGGTGCGCTTGGACAGCCTCTGGAACATGAAAGGGTAGATGGTGGCCAGGTAGCGGTTGATGCTCATGCAGGTGAGGAGCAGAAGAGAGCTGTACATGTTGCCATAGAAGATAACTGTGATGGTCGAGCACATGATATCTCCAAATACCCAACAGTTCCCATTGAGATGATAAGCTACCTTAAATGGCAGTGTTGCACAAAAGAGAATATCCGCGATGGCCAGGTTGGTGTGGAAGATACTGTGGGGTTGGTCTTGAAGAAAATTCTCCACAGGGTCAAGCATTGGCTGGCACATCAACCACAAACACCAGCAGGTAGATGGTAGGTATCACCTTGGAACTTAAGGAACTTCTCAGGTACCCCATGGTAGCACTATTCATATGCAGATTTGAAACATTTCCTTGAAGACATTTCATTTTTACAGTTACATTGGCTCCTGTCCAGCTTTCTCTGGCAGAAAGAGGAAAGTCTACAGAAGAATTTAGGGGAGCTCCGGGAAAAGTCTTATTAGTTGAAGTTGGTGTTCCCAAGGTGTCATTTTCCTTGCCTGTAATTGAAAGGAAATATTAACACATGATTTGTTGCTAAGATATATCTATGGTTTTGATGAAAGTAAAATGAAGTTTTATGCTACATAATTTCTGTAGCTGTAGAGTTTAGGGTTATTTTTATTTTAAAAAATCATTACAGGGCTAGGGATTTAGCTTAGTGGTGCCGCTGCCTGCCTTGCAAGTGCAAGGTCCTGAGTTCAATCCCTGGTACCCCCCCCAAAAAATCATTATAGATCAGCTAATCGTCCAGCATGAACATAGTACACATCTATGTCCCAGCACCATGCCATCCCATGCAGGAACAAAAGCTAGAAAAAAAAAAAACAGTTTCTTGAATGTAAGAAGTTTATAATACTGCTAGAAGAAACAGCAGGAACACAACAGGCAAATGTTCCAGTGACCATAAGCTATGTAGGTAATTAGATAGCAGATAGCAGATTCAGATATTTGAGTAGAATGCCAAGGAAAAGATAAACTTGAGCAAAGATGAGCAAGGCTTAGGAAGAGATGGAGTTTAACTCCTGAATTAGAGTCTGCTGGTGATGAATGGCGAAAGACAGTGTAGGCTGGCATAGGACCTGAGAATATCAGGAAACTTGATTCAAAAAATGTTTATTACATGCTGCTGTGCTAGTGGTATAAAATTTCAAATAAACTCCATTGCTGTCTGTAAACAACTCTTGTTAGACTACTGGAGGACATGCCCAGAAATGCATCAGCTTATGCTATGAAGGTACATCCAAGAGATGGAGTTCAAAAGTAGTTTTATTGAGTAGTTATACTGAGTAGTTATACTCAGATTCCTGCAGGGCCTCTAAGGTGTCATAATCCTAGGCTTTCTCATAGACTCTGGGACTACACATCCAACTTTGAACAGAGGAGTGACCATTGTACTAGACAAAGTAACCCCCTCCCCAGATTCTCCCTTCTCATGCCTGGAGCCCAGTGCCTTGGCAGAAGAGACTTTGAAGATGTGACTTGGTTAGGATCCAGAGATGAGGAGTACCCTGATCAACCTGTGTTGTTTCAAACATTCCATTCGTGATCATTTTTATAGCAGCAATAGGAAGCTCATATAATCATGATTTTGACTTATGTTTAAGATGACTTTGGTAGTAGTGTAGAGAATAGACTGTAAAGGTAAGAAATTTAAGGCAGAGGGGCTAGAGGAATGATGTGGAAAGGTGAAGATGAGCGTGGGAGGCTGAGCAGCTAGCAGACGGACTCAGCATCTGATTGGCTGCTGAATGTTGAGGGGGAGCAGGGGGCAGGATGAACTAAGAGTCCCGCTCTGGATACCTGAGCTCCGATGAGACAGGGGCCATGTTGGGAGAGAAATTTCAATTTCCGGTTTTGATATTATAGAGGTGGCGTTGCTGGTGGAATATTAGTGTGTAAAATGACCAGCAGCTGACTATAAGACTAGTAGTGGATTCTAGATTTTCAAGGGACCAAGTTAGAGGTCTGAATTTTTCAGTCTACATAGAAGCTATTGTTTAGGAGAAGTGGAGATACCTAGGAAGAGATGTGAGAAGAAAGAATCCCAAGGCAGACTTTAGAGAAAATGCCAGATTGTAAGGCAAAGGAAGAAAAATCAGAAGATGAAATCGCTATGATGATGTCAGAAGTTAGAAAGGAATTTTTGATAAGGAAAGAACTATATCAAATCTATATAATAAATATTTAGCATTTCTCATTCAGAGCTAGTTCCTCTTCCTGTTTTAATCTCTTGTTTCTCCTGGGTGAAACTGAAGCTTCCCACATCACCCTGTCTGTGTTCAAGGTGCAGAAGGTGTAGTTTAAATGATTAGGGTAGTTTAAATGCGGTGATCAGATGTCCATTAAGGAAGGGTACATAAGAGAAAAGGAAAGAATTTAGAAGGTGACCTCCTTTTCCACCTGTGTTTCCATGTGATCCTTGAAGGCGCAACACATGTCACTAGCTTAGCACACCTTTGCGTTTTAGGGATCGTGCTGGACATCGCCCAGAGAGAAATGTCTTTAGAGATAGGCAGAAAGCTAACAAGCAGCAACTCTAGACTGTGTTGTTCATTCCTTCAAGATATGATAAGAAAGGTGTTGAAACCAAGGATTTGTCAGTTTTCAGAAAATTCTATGATGGCACAAGATACTTGTGCCTGAAAATGTGCTGAACAGTGAATGTGTTTATGGAAAAGTTGACTTTGTTCCATTTCCATGAGAATTCTAATCTGGACTCACTTGAGTCTTTTATTTTTCAGAGCCTGGTTTTCCTGTAGAAGACTGCTTATTGTTTTCTTTTTCCAAAAATTTATTTGAATTCTCTATACAGATTTCCATGTGGCATAATGTTTCTGAAATGTTTTCAACCTAGGAAGGGGGCTTGGGGAGGAGCTAATCTGCGGGGACTGGATCTCAGGTGCTGGGTGATAGATTCTTCCTTCTCATCTCCCCCACCCCATCAAAGAAGGCAAATCCGCCGTCCTTTACTTGGTCTGCTCTAAAGTTGCCCCTTTTCATTTCTACCAAACCCTACTAGCATCTTGAAGGAACTTCTTCTGCAAACCTTGTTTTCTTTGGAACTCTGCTGCCTAGATTTTTAGCTCGTCTGCTCCCAGAGACAGCCTAGGGATTCCAACTATCAATTTAAGCAGTGTTGCTTTACAGAGCATGGTTTTTGGTTTAGTTTTATTCCCCCTAGATGCATCTCCCAGTCTTGATAGAGAGCACTTAGTCCTTGACAAGGTTGGACATGAACAAACTCAGGTACACTTTTGTGACTGCATTTTAATAATTGAAATTGAACTCTGCTTCCTGGTTTTTGTGGTTCTTGTGAGATGGGAAGGAAATTAGGTTCAGTTCACTCTTCACAACACGAACTCTATCCTAATCCAGAGGGAAACAGCTTACCTTTTTGACCAAAAGTGGCCATCAGAAGCAGTAGTCTAGCAGCTGCAAATATGAGGGCTTTCATTTTAATGACCTGAGTCCCAAGTCTCAAATGTCCTCCAGTGAGTGAAATCAAGGAACAGTTTCCCCTCAGTTACTGCCCTGTGTCGTGCAGGCAGGACCTTGCCCACAGGAAGAGGATGTGGCTCAGCCCATGTTGCAGTGCACAAAACTCTGCCCAAACCTGGAGATGCTGCACTTGTATCCCTGACTGTCCATTCTGAATGGATGCTGTCACTCACACCCAGTGTGCGTATGTGCACCTCAGGGACCACAGAAGGTGTAGAGTCCTTTGTAGAGGGAAAATGAAAGCAGATGCTGAGCAGGTCAGCTTGGAATCTGGCCCATATCTCGTTTTTACCCATCTTAAAACAGTTTCAGCATGTAATTTCTACTTAATAAGTGAGCAAGGAGAAATTATTCTTTTATTCTCCTGGCTATTACAAATTTTAATGGGGGTGGGGGTTTGAGACAGGTCTCACTGTGTAGTTCAGGCTGGCCTTGAACTTACAGCAGACCTCCTCCCTTGGCTTCCCAAAGGCTGAGATGGCAGGTGTGTACTACACATGGCTTTAATTTAAATTTTTTAATGCATTGCATAATTATAAGTCAAACCAATCGTTGTAAAGCAAACTTTTTAAAAGAAGTTAAAATTGGTTAGGTGCTTAATTTTTTGGTACCGGAGATCAAACTCGGGTCCTTGCGCTTGCAAGGCAGGCGGTGGGACCACTGAGCTAAATCCCCGGCCTAGGTGCTTAATCTTTTTTTTTCTTTGGCACCAGGGATCGAACTCGGGACCTTGCTCTTGCAAGGCAGGCGCTGGAACCACTGAGCTAAATCCCTGGCTTTACGTGCTAATCTTGAAGCAAAGAAATGTGAATTATGCAATGAATGGCACAAGTACAACATTACTCAGTCACTACCCAGAAATCACTGAGTTGTGGAATAGATTCCATTTGAGAAGTTATGCACTGCTTGTTTCTGAACTAGCCTGTCTGGTTTTGGCCTCTTATGTAAGAAAAGAGCTAGATCTTTACTGCTGCTGAGACAAAATGCTGTACTTGAATTAAAGAACAAGGAGGGTCATCCTCCCGGGTATCTGAGTAAGAGAACATTTATGGTAGTACGGAAATGGCTTTAGTACTTTAACCTGTAAACATTACCCTACACCTTGTTACTTCATACTGTGGATTCTTATGGTATTTAGTACCATATAATTTCTGTATTTTTATTACATGATATATGTGTGTATATATATATATAATACATGTATCAGTAAAATTTCTTCATTCTAAAACAGTACAGCTTGATCTCAAACAGGCCCACATTAAATCTGCGTATTAGTAATTCGTATCAATAATTGCTATAATCATAATTATATAAATTAACTATAATTTGCCATACAGTCAGTTTGTTGTTGCTATTATTTGCTTAAGTTACCTTCTGGGATTGATGTAAGACTCTAATGCAAACTGTTGACTCACAGTCGGAATCTCTTGAGGCTCAAATTACACACCAGTGATTCTTTCCAAGCTGTTTCTCTTGGCTGGCTGGATGTCATGTCTTGTCTAAGTAATCCATAGAGATCTGTGGAACCACATAGGAGAAGGGTTTCCAGGGCAAAGGTGTTGCAAACAGTTTCACTGAAGCATTGTAGGAAGGACAATGGCCACTGCCACAGAAAAGCCTTTCTTGGTGTTGTCTGTGTCCTTGACCACAACAGAAGTACAGAAGCTTCCAACACTTGCAGGAACCAAAGGGAAGTGCGTGACCTCTTTAAGACTCTTGCAAAATGTACTGCAAATCCTGAGGACAGTACAGCAGCAATCACGGCACAGATCCCTAATAATGGATTCTTTTCCACCACAATTTTTGCAGCTTAGGCTCCTCTGTAGAAGGGTGATTCCACCACAGAGCATGAAAACTGAAATCTGAGTATCGAGTTTAACATCTCCACAGTGCATAAAGCAGTGTAGGGACTCTGAATCAGCAGGTCCCCTGGTACATCTTCATCCAGATGCTTTATTGCTAAGAAAGCTATGTTCTGAGCAACGCACAGTCACAGTGGTGCACTTTACTTTATCAGTTCCTTGGGGGTCCCCAAACCATGGTCATTGAAAGAGGCCTTGAATCTACCAGACTACTACTTTCTTTAAGTTCCACAATTAACAATAATTGTATAACTTGTGTGATCCACACAGCTATGGTTGGAAAGTAGAATTCTTTGTCTGTTGTCTTTGGTATCTTAAAGCTTGAGAAGAGGAGCAGGTGCCTGGGCCATCACTGTCAAGCAGTGCAACTTGAATAGCAAACTGACATTTTCCCTGGCAGTAGCTTTGGTGCTCCAGTGACCCCCACATGTAGAACCCTATCACTTCCTGTCTGAAGGGATCCTTAACAACATTTCTCCTGTAATTCAAGACCCAGAGCATAATTTAACCCCTTCTTGAATATGTGTTCATTCATGTATCTATAGCTAATACCACCATGATCACATTATGTTATAGTTATTTCTCGACACATTTGTCTCTTCTGCTAGACTGTTAGCTCCTACAGGGGCATTTGCCATGTTTTTGGTTTTGATTTTTGTCTTTGTGTCTGACAAATGTTGAGTATCACTATTTTTCCTTCAAATTTAACATGTTCCTGCTGGCTTGTACCACCGGTGGTTCAGAGCAACCCAGCAATGAGATATATGAATTATAGCCCCATCATTAACATGTTAAAATATCACATGGCACCCTGGGGCATCTTGGCATATAGTTTGAGATCCACAGTTTTTGAGTTCTTAGGGGTCCAGATGAATGGATAAAGAAAATGGTATGTGTACACAATGCAGTAGTACTAGTTAGTCATAAAGAAGGATACATTTGAGTCATTTGTAGAAAAATGAATGGATCTTGAGACCATAACGCTAAGTAAAATTCACCAGACGCAGAAGGTTAAATATCATAAGGTTTCACGACCATGAGAAACCAAAAGTATAAATAAGAACAAAATAAAAAAACATGCCGTGAAACAGGGAGGCAGACTCTGTGAAGATGGGAAAGGGAACAAAGGGTGGAGGGGGAGACAAGGCGGAGAGGAGAGGAAGTAAAAATGACCAAAATGAGATATGTCTCTGTACCAGTTCCCCAAGATAAGTGTAATTACTATGTATCACAAACATAAGCAAAAACAAGTGCTTAGGGGAGAAAATGCTTGACTAGGTAGCCAGGGAAGGCTTTTTGGAGGAGGTAGCATTTGAGTTGAGGCCTGAACGCTGAGGAAAAAACAGTAGGTGCTGTGTTCCAAAGGAAGCTCATAGAGTTCTGGAGCGTGGACAGGGGAGTTGGGAGGTAGAGGTGGGCAGGGCCAGATCATTGGAGCCTCGTAGTCCAGGAGCTGTGCATTCCCTTCTAACTGTAGGGCACAGCCTGTAGAGGAGGGTCACACAGAGGACGGGTGTGAGGAGGTTTTGAAGAGCAGCGATCCTGTGGTTCTCTGTGGAGGCCAGCACAGGTCCCAGTTCAGAACATCCTCAGAAGCAGCAAAGGCAGACAGACCAGTACTGCTCTCCATTCAGGAGCTGATGGTGGGCTGGATTCAGGGTGGCAGGACAGAAGAGAGAAGCAGATGGACTGGGGTCAGTTCGTGAGTAGTGTGTGCTGCATGTAGTAGTGCGTTGCTAGGGATGGATTTGTGGAAATCATAATCAAGGAGCTCCTGAAAAGCAGTTGTTGATCCTGTCCCATCCTCACTCACCATTCTGCCCGTGATTCTGTGACGTTCGCAGGATCCTGAGAGCGTTTCTAAAGTCCTCTGGCTGGAGGAGATACAGCAAGCCATCAACGAGGCCAACCTTGATGAGGACAGAGCAAAGCAGTGTGAGTACCTGCCTTCCTTTCCTTGCCAGATCAGCCTGCCTTATATTTGAACTGGGCCTGAAGCCTGCAGTGTTTCCTTTCTGGAAAGGTTTGGTCTCTCCAAACAGGTTTCAGTTATTGGATGCATATTTATATAAAATTATGTTCAGGCAGGGGATTTGGCTCAGTGGTTCCAGCGCCTGCCTCACCAGTGCAAGGTCCCGAGTTTGATCTGGTACCAAACATACATACATACATACATACATACATACATACATACATACATACATAAAATAAAGATATGTGCAAGTGATTGCTCACTTTTCAGTCATTTGGTGGTAGCTCCAACAAAATTTGGTGGTGTTGCTGAAAGAAGTCCAGAAAGTTAAAAAAAAAAAAAAAATGCTCTGCAAGCTCTCCAATTTTATATTTGAATCAAATACTTTTTTTCCTCGTGATCCCTAGAAAACTAGCCCATTTCTGCTCAATAAATGCCTGTTCTCTTTTCTGTGCCTGTCTCTGTTACTTGGGGTTTTCAGAGAAACAGACTTAATAGAAAAGGAGGGAAGGAAAGAGGGGAGAGTGTAAATAGATATTTATTTTAAGGCATTGGCTCACAAGATCATGGAGGGTAGAAATCCAAAATATGTAGGGCAGGCTAGGAAAGCCAGGCATCATACGTAGCCCCCAGAGGCAAGTGGCCGTGGATACGGTACTGAATGTAGTCGGAGCAGTGCCTGGGACAGACTTGTAGAACTAGCTAGCTAATGGTATCCCTTGAAAACGAACCTACTGGTATTTGCTGTGTTCTTAGTTTGTGGAAGTGGAAGAGTTTTAGGCCATGTAAAGTGAAATCTTACTTGTATCATAAAAACAGAGTCAGGGTCCCTCAATTCCCAAACTGGAGCTAGTTTACAAGCCCTGAGCCCCTTGATTGAAGGGGAAGCCAAGTCCCCTTGAGAAAGGATTCTACAACACTGCCGAAAAAAATCACACTGCTCATCTATCAGCCTTCCCCCAAAGGAACCTATATCCTCTTCCTGGGTGGCTGTGCTAGAGGAAAAGGGCCTGACTGGACATTTCCAGGACCACTGGACACTGGCTCTGGACGAATGCTAACTCTGGGTGACCCAAATGTCACTGAGAATTGGGGCTCTTGGGAGCCAGGTGATAAGTGTAGTTTAAGTGCAAGTCCATCCCACAGTGGGCCCAGTGAGTCCCCAAGCCCATCCTCGGTTACTTCTCCAGTTCCAGGATGCATAATTGGAACAGACAAAACAGCAACTCACAGAATCCTCTCATTTGTTCAAATGATACAAAGTATTATTTTATCTTAAACCTCTGATTTCAAGAAGGAAAAGTAAGAAACTTCACATGACAATCTGAAATAGCCTCTAATTTGAATTACATGCTAATAGCCTCTATGGATGAACCCCTACATGAATAAAATGAGACTCCTATAAGTACACAGCTCATTACCCTGCCCATTCCTGGTATTAGCCTCTGTTCTGCAAGTTCTAGAGTGCTTAGGGGGCTTAGTGTTACTTCACTGATGTGCCTTCAAACTTTGGAAGAATCTGTGAGGAACATCTGGTTTTTATTTCCTTAGCTTGGAAAAATATGTGGATTTCTCTAACCTGAACTTTTATACTCTTAGGAACTTTGAAGTCTTTCCTTTTCAGTATTATAATGCTGAAGGAAAAAAAATATTACAGTTGGGATGTATATATAAGAGATTTAAATTTGCATATA